GGCTCTTCTATAGATGCTGATGAAGCCATGTTGGTGAGAGCTGCTTCGTTTTCTGTCCTTCTGAAGGTTTACGGCAGAGAACTGGTTTCCAGTGGAGGTGTTTTATACCAGTGGTCTCAACCTCCAGCAGAACCTGCTGCGGAGCAGGTTAGCCGCTCAGCTAAGTTACCATGGTGACGGACCCGGTAAGAAGAGAACCAGGATTTAACCTGAAGCTACCTTGCTAACCCCAGATCCTTCTTCTAGTCCAGACCCCTGGGGCCTGCTACTGAACATCAGTTCTCAATCTGTACTCTGCTACCAGACACAACAGAAACAATGAGAACACAGCCAGGTGCCACAGAGGAAACCAGAGTGTGCTCAGTGCACACAAATGACTGCTGAAGCTAAACCTGCTGGACTCCTGACTGTGTTCAGGCTCTAACCAAGACCACCAGTACAACCATAAACCTGTGAAGACACGCTGGCATCAAGGTGTTAGTTAAGTTATGAATTAGGCTATGGTGCTGTGTGTGTGTATTTATTTGCTTATTTAATTTTTCACCTCGTTCCTTGTTGGACCAGCAGCAAGGGGGCAGTGCTGCCATTTGGAGTGGATAGGTGTGTCAGCCCAGGCCTGAAGGCAGAAGAAGGCTTCATGAGTGGTCCTGGGCAAGTGTGTCCTCTTTGTTGGCTGTTCATGCCAGTGCAGGGAGGAAGGTCAGAGATCTTCATTGTACTGATGACTCCTGCCTGGATGAGGTTAACCTGCGTTTCTTTCCCACATTCTGTTTGTATAAATGCCCCACTGCCCCCAGTGGCCACACAGGGCAACAACACATGTCCACACTTACAGACCTGTATGAGACAGAAACATGTTTAAGGTTCAGCCAGTATTAAAGGATCCAAGACTCCAATCACTGGTCGATTCAGGTTAGTGGTCAGGTGGTGCAACTCGAAGCTCTCTGAAGCTCCCCTTACTTTCGTTTGCTCTTGGTGTCAGTGGTCTGGAAGACACTGGAGGCTGACATGAGGTTCTCGATGTACTGACCTGGTTCTCTGACTTCAGCTTCAGGTTCTCTTCTTTCACGGCATCCACCCGGGCAGAC